CTGCTGTGCCCCCAGGCAGCCGGAGAGGAAGCTGAGCAGCACCTGCTGCTTCCAGCGCCGTGATTTCCTCCTGGCGGGAACCAAGCCCCGTCCAGTCCCATGGTCCTCGGTGCCCCATTCTTTTTCCTGAGTGCAAGCGACCTCTCTCCTAGGCCCCAAAAAACAAGTGTAGCACGAGGCTTGCCTGCCCCGACCTCTTCCTCCTTGTCCCCTGGTGTCCGGTGGCCACACTCCCAGGAGTCATTCTTACCGACAGACTGGCTGTCAGCAGGGCCTGGGTGTGTGGCTTCCGCTCACCCCTGACGTCTCTCTCTTCCCCTTTCCATGAGCTGCAGCACGCCAGCAGTCGGGCTCCGGCCTGCAGATGTGGACTGCACCCTAAGGGCCAGGAGGGACAAGGGCCTCAGGGGGCTGAGCTGCCCTGCCCGCCTAGACCCGCTCGCTGTCAAGACCTCCTCACGTTGGCTGAGGTGTCTACAGTCCCTTTACCGTGGCGAGGCACAGCCCAGGGCAGCTGAGAAAGGCTGTCTGGAGGGAGTCTGGCCTCTTCCAGCCCCCACTGTCCTCGCTAGAGAAGGACGCCTGCTGCAGTAGTCCAGGGCCCAATGTGGAGGCGGCCACCTGCCCGCTGTCCCTAGCCTCCCTCCCCCTCGTGAGAACATCAGTGTGCCTGAGATCTCCCCAGTGTGTAGCAGAGCAGGGGCCTCCGCTCGCTCCAGCACCCAGCACCATTGCGAGCTGCAGAGCTGCCACACTGCTTCCGTCCCCATCCTCTGTCATCTGCTCAGGTTGAAGAGACCGGGGAGAGCGGGGAGGCCGGCACAGGAGCCCCCCGGGGGGGCAATGAACGGCAACGTGCAGGCTTTGGGAAGGGGCCCATGGCAGATTGTTAGGGCATGAGGTCAGCAGGCTCCTACAGGTGCTCTCAGAACCAGCAGGAAGGCTGAGTCAGTGTGTTACCTACAGGCAAAGAAAACATGTGAGCATGACGTGCTCGGAGCAAAGGCACCAGAACAGCCTGACCTAGGCGGGGCAGTGGGCGTTCAGGCAGAAACGCAAGCAGGGGACCTCCACAAACTGCGTTCAGTAATCTCGAACAGCAGCTAGGTGCAAGGCACCGGGCTGTGTCCCCGGGATGGCAAGTGGTCGGGGCAGAGCTGCCTCTTTGTGGGAGCTCAGACTGGCAGGGGCACCTGATGCCGTTACCACTAATCTAGCCTATTCCCCACGCAATCCTGAGGCTCTGTGCCCTGGCAGCCCCGAATATGATGGGTGCGTCTCAGAGGGCTTCAGAGCAGACAAGACAAGTGAGTTTGAAGGTCAGAATTCGCAGGATGAAACCCAGGCAAGGGCGAGAGCTAAGGCAAAGGAACCGGGGGCGGTGCTGAGAAGGTGCAGATGCAAACCTCGGGACCCCCGTGCTGTCGCTGAGGAACTGTTCCCTGGCCCAGGTGTGCCCCAGCCCATGTGCCAACAGAGCAAGGTGTTAGGAGCACAGCTTTGGAGTTAAACAGTACTCACCCTGAGTCCCCTCCGTCACTCAGGGTGACAGCACGGGCTCAGAACCGTCTCGAGGGCCCAGCCCTAGCTGGACCACATCCCAGCTGTAGGAACCTGGGCAAGCCCATCTAACCTCCCTGGGCCCGTTTTCTTTGTTAGTAAAATAGAAAAACCAGGGCTTGCCCCATAGGATGACTGTGAAGACTGAGTGGGGTCCTCAAAGGGTGTGGGGGCACGATGCACACAGGAATCTCGCAGTCTACCTGGGCCACTGTTACCCTGGCAACCTCACCCAGGCTCATTTCTCCTGTCTGTAAATGAGGGGTTTAGAGGAGTTGAGAGACAGGAAAGCCCCTGGCACGGTGCTGGCCCTTCGGGGGTTTTGAGTAACCGATTCCCAGCGAGCCCAGGCCAACGTGCCCTGGCTGGGCCAAGAGCTCCAGGCTGTGGCTGGAAAAGCAGATGTGGAGTCCAGTGCAGTCGTAGGGTCTGGTCACCGTGGAAGACGAATTCCTACAGCAGTGTGCAGGTGGCACAGAGGAAGGACATGGGCTGGGGACAGCTGCCACTCAGCTCTGACCTGATCTTGCCCTGGGAAATGAGGAGATAGTTCCTTTCTTCTTCCCAAAGAAGGCAGAGAGTCAAGTGTTAACTGATGGCCCCAATTTTGAAATGTCAGTGACGCTCTCAAAGGCGCTGAACGTGCTGAGCCAAGCCCATCTCAGGCAGCCTGCGGGCCAGCAGTGCACAGCTTTGATTCAGGGGCACCCTGTCCACCCACACCCAATGCATTCTTGTTGGCAATCTCCCCTTGAAACTTCTACTTTTTTTTTTTTTAGAAAGATTTTATTTATTTTAAAGACAGAATTAGAGACACAGAGGGAGAGACAGAGAAAGAGAGAAAAATCTTCCATCCACTGGTTCACTCTCCAAATGGCTGCAATGGCCAGGGCTAGACCAGGCTGAAGCCAGGAGCTTCATCTGGGTCTCCCACAGGGGTGCAGGACCCCAAGGACTTGAGACATCTTCCATTGCTTTCCCAGGACAGTAGCAGGGAGCTGGATCAGAAGTAGAGCAGCCGGCACTTGAACTGGCGCCCATATGGGATGCTGGTATTGCAGGTGGAGGATTGACCCACTGCACTACAAGGTCCGTCCCCATCCCCTTGAAAATTCTTAAGACCTCAGTAAACAAAGATACACCAAGCATCTGCCTACAGAGAGCTAGGACCGAAAGCCTCCTAACTGCCTCACAGAGAACTGGCCTGTCTTTGGACATCTCTGTGAATGTCACTTCCAGTCCCCCTGATGCCCTAACGTCTCTGTCACACTCCCTCTGTGCCAGGCACTGTTGTATGCATTTTACAGCTACTATCTCAGGAAAACCCAACGGAAGCGTGACAGATGCAGAAACTGAGGCACAAAGAGTTCACAGGCACAATGCCACACAGCCAGTGCATGGCAGAAACGGACTTGAGCGAGGTTCATCTAGGGTGCTTATAACCATCACGCCACTGCCTCTCACCTGGCCAACCTGGCTCTCAGGATCCTGGGTCTCCTGGAACCACCAGCCACTTCCTCTGGGCAGAAACTAGCCAGAGCCAGGTCTCCCACGAGTGAGCCAGCGTCCCAAGAGCCAAGTGCCACGGCGTCACAGCTAGGAGCCCACGGCTAACCACCCAGGGCCAGGCATGAGAGTCACCTGCAGACAGTCAGCCTCCATTCTGTTGCTGAGCCAAAATGAAGACCCCAGAGCCAACTCCTTCCCCCAACAAACCAAGTCTGGCTACACGCCACCAGGCATCAGCTCAACCAAGTGACTGGAAATGTATTTATTTATTTGAAAGGCAGAGAGAGAAGGATAGAGAGACAGTTCTTCCATCCATTTCCCTCCCAAATGCCTGCAATAGCTGAGGCTAGGCCAGACAGAAGCCAGGAGACAAGAACCCCATCCAGGTCTCCAACACGGGTGGCAGGAACCAAGTGCGCGGGCCATCACGCAGTGCCTCCAGAAGCTGGATTAGGAGCACAGTGTAGCCAGGACTCGGGGTGGCACTCAGATATGGAATGTGGGCATGTCAAGTGGCAGCCTAACCCACTGCACCACAACACCTGCCCCCAGATGAGGATTTGTCCTCATTCCAAAATATCATTCCTGGCCCCAAATCAGTCAATCGATCAATCAGTCTCTCTCTCTCTCTCTCTCTCTCTCTCTCTCTCTCTCTCTCACACACACACACACACACACACCTCCCAGAAGCCTCAGTCACATGGATAGCTGAGTGAGAACCAGAGAGAGACAGGGCAGCTGTGGCACAGGCCCCAGGACACCCCACAGGCAGGCACTCTCAGGACCCCAGAAACGGCCTCAAAAAACCAAGAGTAGCCAGTCAAGGGCCACAGCACGCTTTCACAGCCCACAAGGACATGTAGAGGATTAATCAGATGAACCTGGCTGATCCTGAGGACCACCCCTCCCCCACCCCAAGGAAAGGATGAGCACATCATCCCTGTCACATCCCTGGTTTTTCAAGACTGCACGGGACCATGGAGCCTGACAGGCTGGGCCATTGGCCGCCCACGACTCAGCCACAAAATGTGGACAGCACAGGGGTGGCCAGCTCACTGCTGTTGCACAGGCCAAGCCACCAAGGGCCCTGGCCTTGGGGCCAGCCGTGGTCAGGCACAATGCGTGACTGGGACGGCAGGTGGCAGGAAGGAGAGGAGCTGCGTCAGTCAGTCTGGTGTAAAGTGTCCCTCCTCCTCCAGGAAGCTTTCCTGGCCCCACTGGCCTCTGAAAAGCTGTGACCCACTACTGACTTTCACCATTTGCTGCCTCATTTGTGCTGACATTTGGAAAAAATCATTTACTAGGCATTTTAGCGTACACCAGGTCCTAAGTAAGTGCACTGCACGCATGATTTGACTTAATCCTCTTAGCGACTCTCTGAGGAGGCTGTCATGATGCCCATTACAGATGACGCAGCAGCAGCTCCAGGCCCTTCTTTGGCTTTCTCTCCACGGGACTGCATCCGCTCACCCCAGCTCCCCACTCCTTCAGGCAGAGCCATATGTCCTGCCCCTGCGTAGGGACCACGGTAGCCCCTGCAGGATTGATGGATACGGTGACTGCCACACCTCAACCAATCACCCGTCCTAACCCAGAGGTGGAATGAAGAGATAAAAACCCAGCCAGCCGCCAGCCTGCTGACAGCTGGATGGGAGCCCCTGCATGTGTGGTACACTGATTAGCTGCCACCAACAGCCGCTCTTATGTCACACGATAGCTAGGAAGAACCTTTACCACCACGCGTTTCCTTCCAGGTAACGAAGGACTGAGGCTCTGAGAAGCACCAGGCTGTGGGCTTACCGTGACCCAGGGCGCACAGTGCTGGCGGCTGCCGAGTCCATCCCTAGCCAGGGCCACGGGGACCCACAGGAGGCTCCAGGGCCCAGCTGGCTCCACAGAGCAGGACGAGGCAGGGGAAGGCAAGGCCTCACCTTTGGTAGCGTAGGCCTCAGCGATCACCCGCAGCCGGTACGGAGGCGCCGCCGTGAGCGGCAGGTCATCCAGGCCCACTTGTGCGTAAATGTTCAGGGCTTCCTTATAATCGCCTTCCACGTAATTCAGCTTGGCCATGATCAGACTGGATTCTTGTAGGAATTCTGACTAGAAGGAAAAACAGAGACACAAATGTCTTCCTACCCTGGCGTGGGCCCCGCTGTGAAGCCCCCAGCACCCTGGACAGACACCCAAACATGGCTGTTCACACAGCACTGTTCACTACAGCTGGAGAGGGCCATGGCCCCTGCACACAGCAACATGTGGGCCAGCTACCACGTGGAATACCACTTGGTCATAATAAATATAGAGACCCCATGTGCATGAACCCAAAAACATTACGCCAAGTGAAAAAGCCGATCACAAAAGGTCACATACTACTAGACTCCATTTATATGAGATATCCAGAGTGGTCCACCCTATTTAGCCACAAAAAAAGACAAGAGTTTGCCTAGGTCTGGGGAACTAGAAGAACAGGCCGTGACTACTAACAGTTACAGGATTTCTTTCTGGGGTGATAAAAATGCTCTAGAATTGGTGATGATTACACAATTGTGAATATATTAAAAAACCACTGAATCACCTACTTTAGCTGGGTAAATTGTACGTTATGTGCATTATACAGACTGGGCGTCCTTGATCTGAAACCTGAAATCCAACATGCTCCAAAACCCAAAAGTTGTTCAGCACTGGAGCGTTTGGATTTTAGATTTTCGGATTAAAGGTGCCTGACCAGCAAGGCCTATGCAAATGTTCCAAAATCAGAAAAACATAAATCAAAAACACTTCTGGCCCGAAGCATTCTGGGTAAAGGATATTCCAAAAAGCTGATGTGGAAAAAAAAAAAAACCCACAAACCCCACGGCTTCCCCTGGTGCTGTGGGCTGGGCTGGGCCCAGGACAGAAGGACCGATTCCTAGTGAAAACACAGGTGCGCCTGTCTCACAAAGGAAGCTGCCTGGACACCCTGGCGGGTTCTGTCCACAGCACAGGAGTCCTGGCCCTGGACTATAGCCCAAATAATCCAAGTAAACACTTGCCAAATGGTGCAAAAATCAGGACTTGTTTTCTTTCCAGAGACATGCAAACTTGGGGAGCTGAGGTCACAGATCCAGCCCTCCGGGAGGCTGAGGCCGTCATGGCTCCAATGCTCTCATCCCGACAGGCCCATCTCCGCCCTTCCCTCTCCCCCCCTCGTCAGCTGGGCACAGAGGAGGCCACTCATTTTGCTTCTCCTCGGACCCCAGGCTGTCGCAGGCTGGGTTTCTCACTCTGCAGAAGCACACCGCGGAGCTGTGCTGTGTGTAAACCACAGCTCTCACAGGCGGGCAGCTGTTTCCCCAGGGGTCAGCTTCGGGGCACTTCTTGCAAAGGGGCAGGGACAACAGGTGGAACTGGGCAGGGCAGCAGGACAGACAAAAGGAGCTGAAGAAAGCAAAAGGGGTTTGTTAGTGGCCCAAGGCAGAGGTCCATTTGCAAGAATTAAAATTACATTTGTGGACAGACAAATCGGAGCAGACTTAAGAGGACAGAAAAAAAGCTATGGGGTTGGGGGAAGCGCCCACCACAGAGGGCCTCCACCAGGGGAGGCCAGGCCAGGCCTGGGAATTTTGGGAAGGTTTCCCAGGAGATTCAAGGCAAAATGAGCGGAGGCAGTGCATGGGGAGGTTCAGACGGGGAAGACACCAACTTTCTGGACAGGGATGGTGGTGACAGCTGCACAGCACGAGGAATGCACCTGGTGCCACAGAGCGGGACACTCGGAAATCGCTGAGTGTGCAGTCACTTGGTGTAGCGGTTAAGACGCTGCTCAGGGTGCACCTGCCATCCTGGAGTGTGTGAGTTCGAGTCCCAACCCCAGTCTGAGTCCAGCTTCTTGCTTATGTGCACTCTCGGAAGCAGAGTGATGCCTCAAAAGGCTGGGTCCCTGTCATTCACGTAGGAGCCCCAGATCGAGTTCCTGGCTCCTGACTTCAGCCTGGCATAACCAGACATTTGAGGAGTGAACCAGCAAAAGGGATGTCTCTGTTGATCTTTCCTTCTCATTCAAATATCAATGAAGGAAGGAAGGAAGGAAAGAAGGAAGGGAGGGAGGAAGGAAGGAAAGGTCAAGGGCCAGTGTTGTGTTGCAAGGGTAAACCACCCCTTACAACACTGGCATCCCAAATCAAAGTACCAGTTAGAGTCCTGGTGCTCCACATCCAATCCAGCTCCCTGCTAATGTGCCTGGAAAGACAGCTGATAACAGCCCAAGAGCTTCTGCTCCTGCTATCCACATGGGAGACCTGGATGGAGTTCGAGGTTCTTGGTTTCAGCCTGGCCCAGCCCTAGCTATTGCATGCCTTTGGGTGGTAAACCAGATGGAAGACATCTCCCTCTCCCTCTCCCTCTCCCTCTCCCTCTCCCTCTCCCTCTCCCTCTCCCTCTCCCTCTCCCTCTCCCTCTCCCTCTCTCTCTGCTGCTCTGCCTTTCAAATAAGCAAAAAAGAGAAATCATAAAAAATAAATGACATTTTAAATGATTATAATGTTAAATTTTATGTATGTTTTAGCATAAGAAAAAAATCTTTAAACAAAGCAAACTGAAGGGCCAGGTGGAAAGTAAGCTTGAAGAAAATTGCCAGCCTAGAGGCACAGGGGAGACACGGCGAGCCCCGCTGGTGAGCCGCCCTGGTGTTGTGCGGCCGAGGTCACTCAGCTGCCTGAGGCGCGAGCAGGGCTCCAGCCTGCCAGCGGCCGCCGTGCTCACGCAGGGTTTTCTTGCCTTCACTCAGAAGCAGGGATCTGACCCGGACCGGGGCGCTCTCAGTCAGACTTCTTGCTCTGGCTCTGCTCTTCCAGCCCCAGCCCAGCTGAAACGCACGGGACTCAGGTGCCAGGAGAGAGGAAGTTCCTCAAGCACTGGTGCCAGCGGGGCACACCCCATGCCACAGCGGGCGACTGTGCACGAGGCGGGAAAAACGGCAAGGGCGGGGGGCTCTCCAGGCAGAACCAGTAAGGCAGCAGTAAACGACCCGCCGCTAGCCGCTAGCGCTGCTCACTTTTGAAAAAACTGCCCGAATCAGCTTCGAGCTAAGCACACAGGAAGCGTGAAGCCTGGGAGGCTGAGCAGCTTCCCAGCTCACATGGCTTCACCGGTGGACGCCTGAACTCCAGCGTTCTTTCTGCCACACCGGGCTGTAGAGGGGGCGGAGCAAAAAGCTACCAGCATCCGGTACAATAAACGGGCTCACACGTGGGAAAGGGATGAGCGAGACCCAGTCACACCGCACACCTCCTGGAGGACAGGTGAACCCCGCAGCCATCACCGTAAGCCCCGTGTGCCGGCTGCCCGCCCGCCCCCACCCCAACCCTGCAGCACCCGTGGATGTGGGGACAACTGTTCCCCAGCTTCGAGCCCGTGTGCGGTGCGGGCTTCAGAAAGAGACCGAGCAAGGAGAGTGGAGCACAGGGTGTCAAGGCCCACACGCAGCAGCAAATCCTGAAGACAGCAGGCCACCCTGCTCGCGGCGCAGGGACACTTGGCCGCCTCCCAGCCAGCGCTGGGCCAGTGCAGACACACACAGATCACTGGAAGGCAGCTGGGTCAGGGTTTCCAGAAGCCAGCGGCTTCACAACTGGCAGACATGAAGACAGGTCGACGAACCACCTGTGGCCCAAGCCCTGGGCTGCGGTGGGGCAGGGGTCCAGGGAGCCTCCCAGAGGCAGGCAGCCCCTCACAGGCCCAAGTTCCCAATGCAGAGGAGAAAGGGAAAGCACAGAAATGCACACAGACACAACAGTAAAGGCCGAAGAAGGATTCTGAGACCAGAAGAGGAGAAAAGCGAAGCAGAAATTGTCCAGGTTAAAAGGAAAAAGACGTCAGAGCTTTGACGTTCATGGAACACTCGTGTCCTTGTGGAAAACACGTCTTGGGATGCAAAGGGCCCTACAGGATGAGCAGGCCGGGGCTGAGTGCACTGCCTGCAGAGAGACCAGCAAAGCAGGACCTCAGGGTGGGGAGGTGTCCGGAGCCAGCAAACCTGACTTAAGTGGGTGAGGGGGCGGGGCAGGCAAAGGAGGCCCTTGTGCAAAGCAGAAGTGGGTGTAGAGGCTTCAGAGAGACAAAGGAGGAAAGATACGTGAGCAGGGACAGAAACCTGAGTGTTAATGGAGACCAGAGAGCACAGCATGTAGACGGGGGCCAGGAAGGGGGTCCTTGCTTGGGTAGAGCTTAGCTCCTGGTTCCTGCCCACGCTGGGGCACCAGTACAAGAGCTCACAGAGCTCTGGGCCCGAGGGGCCGTCACACGCACACGGCTTGGGCAGGGAGCTGTGTGCTGCCCTCTCCCCGACAGGCCTGTCTCTGCCGGAGCCCCACTGAGCTCCGGGCCCTACGTGAAAGTTGATTTCAAGACGTGGGGAGGTCAGCGCCGTCATGCAGGACAATGCATCAGAGAGAGCCTCGTGGTGGTGAGCCAGCCTCGGGGGACACATGGGCAGCTCGGGGGCTGGCCTGCTTCTCAGAGGGCACTTCATGGTGCCCCAAACACTGCCCGTTCGGTCCCCGGGCCTCCTTCCCGCCCACACCCAGCCCGGAGGAGGGGAGGCCAGCATCCCCCCACCATCTGCCCCCTCCCCCGACCCAGAGGCCCACGGGTACCTTGAGGTTCCCTCGGTCCAGGGCAGCGGTCAGATGCTTGCGGACCTCGGTCAGCTGCGGCCGGGGGCCCCGGGGGCTGGCCCCCTGCCGCAGAGGGTGCTCCTTCAGGAACTGCTCCAGCTTCGACTCCCCGAGGAGGAGCTCGGCCATGTCATCTGTGAACACAAAGCGAGGCGCTCAGTGGCACACACAGGGGTCTGTGTGCCGGAGCCCCGAGGCCCCAGGCCCCCAGCAAGGCCCCCTCGGAACTTCACAACCTTAGACAGGATCTAAGTGGGCACCGTCTGGGCGTGAATTCTGATCATGAGAAGAAATGCACACGGTGGGTGTTGGCTCAGCACTCACTGGATCCAGAAAGATGAATAGTATTCACATGGAGATGGCAGGTCAGCAGGAAAAAGCAGGGCTGCCTTATGATGCATTCAGCGGGACCTGCTGACGTTCTGGGTGGCAGGCTAGGCTCACCAACGGCCCAGAGCTGGCCAGAGAGCCTCTTCCACGTTCTAGGATCGGTCAGCCCCGAAGGGGACATCTCCCGGTCCCTGCAGTGCTCCTGCCTTGTGCTCAGAGAAGCCTCAAATACTCTCCCAAGAGGAGCCCTGGAGTCCCGGGAGGAGCCAAGTTACTGGACGCAAGAATTCTTTAGGTGCCCGAGAAGAAAAAGCCAATCTCCTGCGAGATGGGAAGAAAACCAGGTGGGCCCGTGGCGGCATCAGTGCCAGGAGATGATGCAACGATGCCCAGGGTGCCCGGGGACCCAGAGTGCAAGCCCCGAACATAGAAGCAGCCAACGTGGCAGTCAGGGAGCAGGGCGCCGTGCGGAACCTCCCAGAAACAGGAGCCCATCGTGCACAGGAGAGCCAGCGCACCAAGAGAGCCCTGCAGGAGCCATGAGCGAAGGCCGGTGGGCAAAGGCCTGCCGGACACCAGGCACTCATGGATAAACAGAAGGCGACATGCCTGTGGCAATTACGGTCACGGAACAGGACGTGGACACTAGCAACCAACACAATGTGAAAAGAGCAACGTATCAAAAATCGGGAGGGGCTTCCAGGCACCATGGTCTCCTCTCAGAGCCCAGGCCCAGCGGTGAAGATGCCACGTCCCACGTTAGAGTGCCTGGGTTTGGCACCCAGCTCCAGCTCCTGACTTCAGCTTCCTGATGACACGAAACCTGGGAGGCAGCAGATAATGACTCGAATGATCAGGTTTCTGCCACTCACAAGGGAGACCTGGAGTGAGTTCCTGGCTCCCGGCCCAGCCCTGGCCCAAACCTCCCCTAGCTGTCCAGGCACAGAAGGCTGAGGCCTGAAGGAGGAACCCGTGTGCCGTCCATCTCTGAACCCCAGGCCGAGCACAGTGCCTGGCCAGTAAATGGTGAGCGAAGTCCACGACAGAGCCTCCAGATTCAGGCGTGTGGCTGCCTGGGCCACAGTCTGCTGGCTGTCCCTGACACTCGTGTTCTTCCTGGGGAGCAGGATTCCCAAGTTCCGAAATGGGGGGACAGGCATTCCAGGCAGGAGGAGCAGAGTGTGCAAAGCCATGACAAGGCCCAGCCTATTGGAGGAACTCTAAGAGGGCTGTTAGGAGCGAGCCAGGCAGTGCTGGGAGAGGAAGCAGGGACGGGCAGGGAGCTCCTGGCCAGGCGGGCAAGGATCAGCCGCCGGCTCCTCTGCACAGGCGGCTCACGGTCTGACTGGAAACAGCATGCTGGCTTCAAAACGCTTATCTGAAATTCTGAAAAACCCCTAGGATCCAGTGTAATCTCCCAAGCAAATTACGTCTTTTCGGCTCCCCATCATAAAAGGTGAATTCCTGGCTGGGAGGGCTCACGTCAGAGAAACCACACAGAGGCTGCAAGGCCCCTCACCAGTGATGGGGGCCTCTGGGTGGTCTGGCACTTACTCGGGACCCCAGGGGGTCCCAATCCGGAAGCCATGAGCCAGAAAAGGAACAGCTGTCACCTAACCAGCTTTCAGTGCCTAATAACAGATCCAGGTACACACCACGACAGTGAGGCAGGAAGGAAACGGGTCCCCAAGGGACATAAGAAAATTAATTCCAGATGGATCAAAGAATTTTCGGCAGGGGCCGAATTTATCCTCCCATCTGAAACAGGCACACAGCAGGGTGAATTGTGGGAAAGAACAGCTTCCAGGGCACTGGGCAACAGCAGGAGAGGACAGTGGGTCCTGAGAACTGGGTGACAGACAGGGGAGCCCCACAACTGCCCTTGGAGTGGCCCCATCCCACTCCTGCACTGAGGCCTTGCAGCAGAATTCTGTGCACCGAAGACCGAGATCTGAGTGTGTCCACCCTCGCCAGGCACAGCGGCGCACAGCTGCTGTCCCACAGCTGCAGGTGGGACAGCAGGCCTGCAGTGTGGGGCTGGGCACGAGGCTTGCAGAGTCAAGAAGCCCTGGAAGCCCCACGTGGAGGGAAGAGCCCTGGGCTTGATCCCAGCCCCCTTGCCTGCAGCTGCGTGGCAGCCAGCAACATGCTAACCCTCTCTGAACCTGCCTCCTCACCCGGCCAATGCAAGGATTAGAGACAGTGTACAAGTGTGTCATGTACACAGCATGAAGCAGGTACCGAAAAACAGCAGCTGTGCTGCAGTTATTTTCCTGCACTTGCTGGGATCTGCCATCGCCCAGAACAGTCATCTCTATGCTTTGACGGACGTGCTTAAAGCCCAAAGCCTTGTGTCAATGGTTAATGGAGTAACTTGAGTGGCTGATGAACTAAGAGCAGAGCTGTCCAATCACGGCATCTGGGAGGTGGGTCCAGTGGGAGGTCTTTAGGTCATTGCAGCCATGCCCGGGGAAGGCATTTCTCACAAGAGTGGTCATTTAAGCAGAGTTTGGCCAAGCTCCATTGCTCCCAGGCGCGCACCTGACCCTCCCCCACACGTTCCACCTGCCTCAGATGCCAGTGCCCAGCCCCGGGCTGTGAGCCTCCACACCATGAGCCAAAAATAAACCCTCCTGCGGGGCTCCACTCCACTCAGGAAAAGCTGGCTACCAGGTGATGTGGGATCCTGCAGGGCCAGGAAGTGCTGTGGGACGTGAGCCCTGTGCTCAGGCCTGCACTTAGTAGGGGGAGACAGACGCCGTGCAATGCTCATCAAGTCCAGCCGCCTAGGCACATGGGCACCTCCTAAGCGCCAGGCGGCGCGAAGCAGCTCCCGTGACTTGGAGAATCCGCAAGCAGCAATGTGATGCTGGGAATATGAATCTCCACCCCGCAGACAGGGAAGCAGCCACAAGAGAGGAAGCCACATGCCAAAGGGCACAGAGCCTATTTGTCCTGGAGCTGGGATTTGAACCCATGCAGTCGCCCTTCTTTGTCTCCACTGCCCTCCAGGCACAAAGCATCTGGACAACAGCATTCAGCAGTGTGGGGAGCAGCCCGGACTGGACTGAGTTACTGGAATTAAGACTTATTCTATGCATCTGCTCTCCCACAATATGGCGCTGGGAGAGAAGTAAACAGCTTCCGCACAGCTGCCTCCAGTTCAACCAATAAACTCTAGGACTTGCTCCTGATTGGAGGAGAGCAGCGTACTCGGCGTGTGGGCAGCCGAGTTGGGATTGGCGGAGGAGGACTATAAAGGAGGAGAGAGACGGCATGCACCAGGAACATCTATGGGGAACATCTAGCTGAAGGAACACCCGTGCAGCCCCCGAGAGACCCGGCCGGCGGAGTGCCGCTCCCCTGCGGAAGTGGGGAATGCGGCCAGGGGGAACTGCCCTTCCACGGAGGTGGAAGGGATAGTAGCCAACCCGGGAAGAACCAGCAGCAAACCCGGGGAGGGCCGAGCAGACGAAAGAACAGCGCAGGGTCTTGTGTTGCTCCTCCACGAAGAGGGGGAGCGACAAGCAGGGCCCCACTTCCCTGTCAGTCAGCAGTGTGACCCCGGCCGAGCCCTCAACCCTGCTGCCTCTGCTCAGGGCTGCACAGGTGGTTTCGCAGTTCCCTTCCTGCTCCAGGTGTTGGGATGCTTGGGGGACCGCAGTGAGGAGGGCTAGGGTAACCTGGGCTGGTTTCCCCTTTCCCACTGGCATTTGGCAGGATTTGGGGGGCAGTGTTAAATGAGGCTGCAGGAACCAGTTCCCCCAGTGACCTATAAAGAGATTCAGCCCGAAGCCAAACAGACCGCTCGCTCGTAAGAGCCCTCACCACGAGGGGGAAGGGGACGGGGAACTGGCCCCACTGGGCCTCCCTGACGCCCCCAGGGAAGGCAGGGCTGTGGCTGTGGCCTGTGGCAGTGCTGCCCCTTCCTCCATTTCTTCCTTGCAGGATAAGCAGCTGACAGGCAGAGATGTGATCAGATGGCAAAGAGAAAACACAGGGTTTCTTCGCTCTTCCTCTGTTCCCGGGGTTTCTAGGGAGAACCTGATACCGTGTTAGTCTCAGCCCCTCCTGCGTCCGCCCTTGCTGCCTGCTCAGCCTGCTCCTGTTCAAGCCCTGGCCGCCGTGACTGGTGTCCAAGGAGAAAACAAAGCCCTGTTCAAGCGAGAGCTGGTTCTTCCACACCCTCAGTCCCGCGGCACAGCCAGCCATGTTCTCCATTTCCTTCGGTCTCACGTGGACTCTACTTCCTTGTTGACTGGGCTTCTTGTCCGTCCCAGGTAACCAAACCCTCACAAGGAACTGCGGCCCAGCCCTGCCCCTGCAGAATGGCGACAGGAAAGCACACTGCCATGGGGTGTGAGCAGGGTCTGTGGGACCAGGTGAGCACTATCCGTAAAACAACTCATACACTGTACCATGTGTCCCACCTGCCCCACAGATGGCGGCTGTAGGGACTGAGCCCAGAGACACAGGCACTCTTGGGGACCAGTTTGTAGGCACATACAGCCCGACTGGCAACAGCACAGGGTGGAAAACCACGCTGGGTGTCCTTGACAGAGGACCTGTTGGATGAATGACATCCGCATCCGCCATGCTCTGGGAGACCACGCTCTCACTGAAAACAACACAGGGAACAGGGCTCAACACAACGCCATGGCAGCCGGCCATGTCTTCCTGCTTCCACAGTCCGCCCACTTCATGGCCTCTCGCACACACCCTGGACTGAGCCACAGCACCTGCTCTGGCCAACAGGGCAGTAGCCACCCTGATGGACACAGAGGCTTTGAAAGGGGCTTCTCAC